ACTTTTTATTTATTGCTTGGAAATTAATGAAACTGCTGCCAAAAGTTTGTCAATGGGGAAAAATTTGTATAAATGTAAAAAATTCAATTTTTATGACAAAAACTCAAATATTTGCTTAAAAAATAATGAATTTGCGTCAGATAAGCTTAAAATTTGATTATAATTAATAAAATAATATAATTACAATCAAAAATGTATAAAATTCAAAATACTCTATTAATTATTCACCCCTAAACATAAAATAAGTAAAATTAATTTTAAAACGTTTCCTAAATATTTACATTTTACTTCTCGATTTTTATTTTTTATGATTTTAACCATAACTTTGAAAATATTTATTGTAAAATGTTACCAATCGCAGTAAATTGAACCCAATTCACTACCCAACCCACAGAAACAAATATTTTCCCATTTTCCCTAACACAACCCCCAATAATTCACCCTTTATTCCTGCCTTTCCAGCAAAAAATCAAAACAAATCAAATCCGGCGCAATTCTTCTCGAAACTTCCCGAAACTGCTGACAAAGTAACTCAAAAGCACAAGAAGTCTAAAGCCGAAGTCCATAATAAAAACACAAAATACTTATGCTAATATCACATCCCATCTCGTGCCTTCCTAGCAACCCTCGCCGCACCATCCGTTCCATCAATTTCACTTACGTAAGCGCACGAAAAAGCCGCACCAGCATGCGAGATGACATTGAATCAGCCCGAATAATATAATAAGAACGAAGGCTTTCAATCTCGCGAACCGAGCGACTACCCACTGCCAAGAAAATGTCCGCAGACTCGCAGAAGACTCCCGAAGCAAACAGACATGGATGCATGGATGGCGCATTCAGGCAAAGCCATTGTATTTATAAAACATGACTATGGGGTATTTTTCTTTTATGCGCCTCTCCGCATCATGCATACGCGCACCACTCGAGAAACTCTTGCAGCAGCGCAGAGTGTGTAGGTACATACTTGTGCTTATCCGACGGGCGCATCTCCACGTTCTTTTCTACTTCGATTCCAGTACATTCATCGAAGAGTAAAGAGATAAAAATTGCCGTAGAGGCAGAACAGCTGTAGGGAAATTAACAATACGCCCTTGATTGAAAATTCTATATGTATAAAACAAAATGTGTTAGTTACAGCGTTTATAACTCAAGAACGCGTGGATAGATTTTGATGATCAATGGTTTATTGGATTCGAATTTAACCCCAATAAAAGAATAATTAATAAAATATTAAAAATTATCACGCAAAGGGTGTTAAATAATAGATTAAAGTTTATATAGTGATTGTATCATAGTTTTAGTTAAATAATTGAACTCCAGATGGCGCTAAAATGCATTATTAGTATTTTTCATTATTTTAAAACAAAATTATTGATGGAATTAATTATTTTTAATAATTAAAAACGTAATACGCAATAAAAATATGTTTGTCACATTAATGACACCTAAATTACCACAACAACCCCACGAGCAATTAAAGATTAACGATTACCATCAAGATCGATCATAATCGTTATTGCATTCCACACGAATAATGCGTTATAGGGGTTGGCCGGCGGTGGACGCGGTGAACAGACCAAACTTTCCCAAAATGTTCCCCGAAAAGTGTTCCGAAGGTTTAATTTCCCGTCATACCGCCTGTCAAAATAAGCCCCACGTTCGAGGATATATCTTCACCGGAGCGCATTAAATCCACTCGCCGTACAGCGCGCCCGTTTCCTCTTTCAACAATTTTCGACATTCCATACATCCCGACAACCGACAACCCCAAACTTGCTCTTGCTCCAAACTACATACATCTATACGAGTGTCTATGCTATTCGGGGATGCGTCCGGACTTGTGAATACTGAAGTGCCATGGCAACCCTCCGCGCACACACATCCAAACTATTATGGTGTTTACTTTAACGCGCACCAAGCTTTTGTCTACGACAATCAGATTGTGCGCGCGCCGAAAATTTGTATGCTATTGATAAGCGGGACCAGCAGGGAAAAATTTCGAAAGTTTGTTCATCACTCAATTGAATGGGTTTTGGAGCTATAGAGAGTGAGAGAACAATGAGTTTACGTGACTGTAACATAAACTACCGGCCCAAGTTGATAATGTTGGTAGTAATGTAGCAAGTAGTAATATAAATTCAAGTGTAAGGGATGCGCTCGAGTTGAATTTGGGGTTTAGCACGGGTTGTGAATTGTGAATTTTGGATTGTGTCAGCAAAAGATAGTGATAGCATAGTTTTGGTTCAGCTGCGGCTTTTGGTTGGTTGCGAAAGCAAAATGTCAAGACGATAATCGTATGATGTATGATCGCACATGCGAATAGAAATGGAAATGTTATTGTAACCGCTAAAGGAAATTGTTATTATTGTTTAAAGGGTAATGTAATTTTATACTTCAGAAGAAAAAATAACAAAAAGGAAGGATTTTTAGTTAAGTTTTGCTTAAAAATCAGAATAAATATTCTAAATGTATAGGCAACACATAATACATGTATGCACACATTAAAAATTGCATAATTATTGCTTATTCTTCAATTTTACATTTTATCGGTAAGAAAATCATTGTAATCCCAAGAGGAAATTATTATTCTTGTTCAAAAATGAAGTTATTTATTAATTCAGAATAGAAAATGAAAAAACACGATTTTTTGATTAATTTTGCTCCAAAAATGAAAATAAATATTCTCAATGTGTAGGCAACACATAACACATATAATAACCCATTAAAAATAGCATAATTATTGCTTATTCTTCGATTTAACATTATCGTTCACATGCCAACATAAATTTTCCTATTAAAGTGCTTTTATTTGTATCGCGATGTGATTAATGTTGCATTGTAATAAATTCGTTCTGATTGATATTGCCCGATGTGCCCGAAGGACCATTAATGCCGGCGCATTGTTGCAAACGGCGCATTCAGCTCGGAGCGCACAATTAACCACATTTCATTATGATGCACCGTCCGCGTCCTCTCGCTCTCTTGGCAGCAAGTTTTCGTTTACTGCGTGAATTTTACGGTGCCTACACACACACCAATACACACCAATTCACAACAAACGCAGGCAGGGTTAGAAAAGGAAGCAGCACTTTAGAAAATCTAAAACGAAATTGATGGTTTCGACCATAGACCATTTACACACCCTCTTGCACCAAACACACCCTCAGTGTGCGTTTTGTGGATGTGTGCGTGCTTCAATGCGCCGTTCGGTTTTCTTTTCTCGATGGAGCGAGAGAAAGCAATTAGTTTCAGTTGCCAGCATGCCAACAATGGTAATGTTCTGTTCGTGCGTTTACCAAGTTTCCGTCGGCGGGACGGTAACGCATAAATGCATCAGCAATCAGTGGCAATATGGAAATGCAGCTGCACAATTTTAATTTACACTTTTTTTCAACGCACACACAAACTTAAATTAAGTCTATTTCTGTTCATTTTAAAACATTTTCTGATTTTTACATTCCGCCATGTGATTTTTTATAATTTGAAACATTTTGATTCGCTTCACCTCATTAAAATCGAAAAATCTCCCCCTGATTGATTCGCCGCAGTGCGCCGGCTGCGCGCACCAAACATAGTAACCATTAACAAACTCGATTCTTTCATCCTCTCTCATTCTTATCCTCTCCATCGTTACACGTATGTAGTACTTTAGTTACCTCATACCTGTATCCCGCTCGCTCGTATACATTATCATATTTATCGCGGCGCGCAATGGAATTGAATTTAAATTCCAAATTCGATCGTGATTTAAGTACGCATTCAATTTCGGATTATTTCGGATTTGCTCCGTACGCCGCATTAAATAATAATAATCACGGGTAATGTCAATTTTAATGCCGCGCGGCGCGTTCGCTTATTATCGAAGGCCCCGATTATCCGTTTATTGCGCGCATTTCTTCGCTGAGAGCCAACCGGTTCCAGGTCTTTAATTCAGTACTTAGAGTATTCCTGAATGTTGGCCACTCGGCCGACCCTTTTTTTTTATCTTATTTTTCTTATTTTATACCGAGACCTGTGCGCGATGCGGTAATACTGTTTTTAATTTTGATCCCAATCCCGTTTTTGCCTTTTATGTAATCGGTAATCGCTTTAATTAAGGTGAGATCCGTATTTGGCAACCCAACAGTTTTCCAATTCGGTATAATCTGTTCGTTTTTTTTTTTTATTATTTCGGCGTATTTTGCGCGTGCTGTGTCGAATTGTGTATCATTTTACTCCGGGTGAAATTAAAATATTTTGCAAACCCGTCTGCCAGCCCGGATTAAAATTGCTTCCCACGTGTGGAAGCGGCGTCACTCGAGTGCCTGTCACATGCATGAACATTTCACGCTCATATTTCTTCCCAGCGTGCATTTTTCCTCAAAGTTTAATGCAATTTTTGCGGTTTTCATCGCACGGTGTGCGCGCACAGCTGCGTCATCCGCGGAAAAGCCGTGTTTCCTTCGCGAAGCCTTTCATCGGCGGCGCTGTGAGAAACATTAAACGTGTATCAAAAGAGCGCGAAGCGTACGAAATATTTCATAGTTTTATAGTTGGCGTTTGGTGCGCCGATGCAAAATACGTTCCAGCGCGTCGTCGTGTCGGCTTTGTTACCGTACTGCAGGCACAGTGCCCACGTTTGCGGTTAACAGCGAAATAACTCGCGAATAAACCGCGCCACTTGCGGTTTTTTTACACATTGCTCCATACGATTATGCATCGTTGTACGTTTTGCAGCGTACTTTTTGTAACTTAGTTGAGAGCAGCGCAGAGGGATCTCCGCCGGCTTGAAATATGCGTCTGCGTCTCCTACAAGCGCTCGCGTTTCGTTTAAATGCGTTTTTTACGCTGGCAGCGAGCATGACTGGCGGATGTGCACAGCATTAACATGCGAAATTGGCGCCCTGCGCTGCCTTATTTTCGTAATTTGCCGATTTAGGCATTGGCGGATGCGTTGCATCATCGTTTCATTCTAGAATTGCACACAAATGTAAACAATAACGTAAGTGTTGGCTTACCTTATCGTATCGCCGAATTGAATATTTATTCACTGCACTCAACAATATAAAACGTGTAAAAGTGTAATTCAAAGCACGCTTGCAACACGATCACTCGCGAAATTAATAGAGGTTAGTTTTGTGCACATGAGCAAATTTTGCAGCGGTGTAAATGTGTTATATTGGTTGCCTATATTAATACTTTCAATATTATTCGCAATGAAAACCGCGAAATATGAAATATCTCGAGAATAAATTCACGCTCGATTGAAGACAAAACGTGTTGACATCTACTGTATCTTACCTATCGTATCGCCAAGTAGAATATATTCATTTACTGCACTGAACAATATAAAAAGTATAAAAGTCTGATTCACAGCACGGTTTCAACACACCATACCCACTCGAGTATTATAAAGGTTAGATTTCTGCGCATGCGCTCTACATCGCTCTCAACGTGTATTATGGGTTGCCTATATTACAACTTTCAAACTAACGATGAAAACCTGGAAATATTGAATATTTCAATAATAACTTCTCGTCCGATTAAAGACAAAACGCGTTGACATCAAGTTATACGGAATGCGCGCTTCACACAACCTAATAGACTTCGCTCCGTAGTATAATCGATCGGCATCGAAAATATTTACGACATAGTTTCCCAATAATTACGCCGATAAATTTAGCCCCCCGAAAAGCGAACACGCCGGTTGAACAAAGAAGCACACAAAGAATAATTTCCACCGCGAGCCGCCGATGTATTATAGTGCTGCTTTTTTTATCGACGCTGCCGCCAGCTTTCATCATTCCGAACGCGCGGACCTCGGCGGAGAATTGCGCCCCGATATGGCGATGGCGCGCGGCATTGTTATGATGGCATGCGACGTCGATGCCAGGCTATCTCCTCTTTGAAGCGTCTGGCATTCGCGTCATGTGCGCCTCGCTTATTTCGTTCGTGACCCAAATCTGTATTCGGAAAAATTTACGAATGCGACATGAGAAACAGCCGCGCGCCGCAACTGTCCTGGATTCGTATAAATATGGCTGCATTGGCTGCGGCGCAAAAAATAAATAAAATAGCAGACATAACATAAAAAATTACTGCCTAGGCGGTGGAAGACCGAGTTATATTTGGTGTTTTGGAGTAAATGCGTGTGGCATATGGTTTTAATTAAACTGGTAAAGCTAAATAGAGGAAAAAGTCATAAAATTTACTGTAGAGCGAAAACTATAAGAGATATCATTAAAATTTCTTCAGAGTATGAAACTAGATTAAATTATCTATCAAACTAATAATAATTTAATGTTCTAACATCTTTGATGAGAGCGTAATTCATGAAAATGCGAAATATTACACAAAAAAACAAAATTTACAAAAAAGCTTATATTTCAGACACTAGGCAAAATAATTTAATTTTTTTGATGGGAAATGATAATTAATAAAATTATCTGACGATTACAAAGTGTATTTGAATTTGAAATAATTTTTTGCCCATTTAATTTGACATTAAATAAGTAACACATTTTTTCATAAAAATAATTTTTTTCAATTAAACACGAATTAAACAAATTTGCAACCAAATATTTTTATATTTTTGAACTAATTATTAAAGTAGATTAAATTATCTTTAAAATGATGTATAACACAATTATGTAGCATTTTTGGAACATACTGTAAAGTTCAAAAGAAAGACATCTTTAAATAGAACAACACTTTTCCAACTTCAAAACATGATTTACTAAATGGCTTATATCTTTAGAACCAAAGAAGATAATTTAATTATGCTTGATGTATGTGACACCTGATAAAATTTACTAAAACATAGGCTTTTAAAAATGTTCTATTTTCATTTTAAACGCCTTAAAACTGATGTTAAAATTAGGTTATTTTCAGTTTTTAAAAATCAAAAAATCCAATTTATTAACTTATTAAACAAAAAGAAAGCTATATAAATTATTCTTATTCTTTTTGTGCCATATTACGACGATAATATAATTGTACATTAAATTATGTTGTATTTTAATTAGAAATGATTGCTCTGCTCCTTTTGCAGCATTTCTATTTTAGGTGTTTTTGTACGGCTTCACAGATTTTCGGAATGCCCACACCCTTTGCTTTTCCTCAACCGCCGTGAAGCTGACATTCTAAAAATAAACTTTATCAACGGTCGATTTCCGCGCGCAAGAGCCTTCTGCGTTCTTCAATTCATCCCATGTTCGTCGTCGCCGTCGCGCAATTGAACCGAATAATCGTAATTAGCCATAGAGTTATTTCAGGCGCGCAGGAACCGAGAGGAACGAGCGACGACTTTATCACAGTTATTAGCGATTTTATTATCGGGCTTCGCCGGGCGGCGGAACGAAGCCGAGCCCAAAGGCCCCGACCGCGAACGGAAGACCGCCGAGAGACGCCCGGTCGCCCCGCTGGCCGGCATCACGCGAGGCGGCGACGCGCGCAATAAAAATTAATTAAGTTTCGTGACCGTACCGAAAGCCCCGCACTCGCTCGCTCGCGCCGCAATAAAGAAGTGATTCGCCTTTATTTATTTACGCCGCGCACACCGGCGCGCCGGCTCACCGGACTCACGGAATTGCCAATTCATAATTAATTATTATGTAATTAAATTTCGCCGTGCGTCGTTCATAAAATAATTAAACACGCGCAAATAAAAGCCAGCTAGGAATGGATTTGAAAAATAAATTACATTGCCGATTCTGCCAATTAGTCTCCATGCGTATTATTTATTCAATATTCCAATATACAATATGGTAAAAGTTTTATTTTAATTATTTATCAATTACTCGAAAACTACTTGAGTTATAACAATAATTTTTTCACCAAATAATTTTATATTAAATTTAGCAACAAAATATGCAAAGAAATTAGTTTTATTAATTTTATATCAAAAGTTATGGTGAAATTTGTATGAATTTTATGAATTATTATAAAAATCAAGTATAATTGTTAATAACTTTTTGTGTAATAATCTAATCAACATTCTCTTTTCGCCAGTTGATAAATAATTTAATTCCTAATCGATATCCGTTTAAATAAACGTTCTAAGATAAATAGTTTTCGAATAATTCACTAATAACTAAAACTATTCAAATCTACGAATTGTTGTAATTATTTACAAATTACTCGAAAACCAATAAACTTGTATTAACAATTCCTTCAAATATCTATTCAATATTAAATTCTCTACCTTCTGAACTACATATTTAATTGATAACAATTTTTGATCAAAAGTTATTAACACTTTAAACCAAATTTTATAAATTTTAACAAAATTAAACTTTAATTGATTATAATTCCATTTCAACATATCACAATATTCAAAAATATATATAATTTGATGTAGATTAATAGTTAGAATATATATTCGAAAGAATCAATAATAAATTCCAAATAGTTTCGGAATAATTCACTAAAAACTAAACAATCGCACGTATTTCCCACACATGTTACACCAGCGTGTATAAATCCCAATAAACGAACAGTAGAATTCAATAAAACATAAACTCGCTTATTTTGTGTGTTATTGTTGAATATTTTCCAACGGCGCACATACGCCGCATGAAATTCAATATAAATTTTAATTCTAACCGGCGTAAAAATGAATGCGTGTATTTAATTTCACGCCCGTTTGCTGTCACACACTGACGATAGAAATAAAGCGAAATAAAGCTACAGCAATGACACGCCGAAGGGGGAAAAACAGCCGCAGTGCAATTTATAAGATGAAAGATGAAAACGACCATCGACGCCGATGCGAATGAAATGGGGAAATGTGCGCGCCGAGAAGAAAACTCATAAAAGACGTAAAACTTTATTATTAACCGCACAGACCGCAGTAAAAACCGCTCGGATACTAACATTTTCTTCTGATGTCGTTTAGTTTGGCTTTTGTTCGATCGTTTACCAAGTTTTCCGCGATTGTTAATCAGGAAAAATGCCAGAAATCGGAAATTAAATTCATACTCATTTTATGGACTTTTTGATTAGTTATAAAAATGTATTAATTTGCAAAAACTTTTATAGAAATATTTTAAACAATTTATTATTGTTTAACAAATTATTTAAACAATTATACAAAATTTATAATGGATTTATTCGAAGAAAAACATTTTTTCTATTTTTCTTGATCAAATTTCGCTTTTTCGACACTTTTAAAACATTTTTAGATAATTTTAAGAAAGTTTTTATTGTTTAAATGAATAAGAAATATTATAGAAGAGTTTTTCTATTGTTTAACAAATTATTTAAACGTTTTTATTCGATTTTATTATGAGAAAAACAGTATTTTCTATTTTTTGAAATTATTTTCCAATTTTGGGCAATTTTTAAACGATTTTTGGCATAAATATAAAATTTTCAATTGGTTTATTAAATATGCATCTTTTAAACAATCATATGCAACAAAAAAAATATCAAAAATTTTGTTTGCTCTTCAAATTACAAGCAATTTAGTAGAAAAAAGCAAAAAAAACGAAAATTTTAAATTTTTTTCAATTTTTCGACTTTTAAACACTTTTACAACAATTTATACTAAAAATAAATAATTTTTACTTGTTTTATTAGATAGGAAATCTTTTAAACTATCATATCCAACAAAGAGAACTCAAAATTTTTGTCCGGTCTTAAAATTACAAGCAATTTAGCAAAATTTGTTGCTTTTTTTTTGCAAATTTGCCCCTTTGATCCTTAATACCTTGTCGATTACATTATCATATTCTTTCATTAACATTTGCCTTTTGAACAAGTCATACCACATCGCCTGTGGTCGTGTTCACAACGCGAAACAAAAAGATTCCAATTCGAGTTAAAAATCAAATTTGCGCGATACTCATCTGCATTGTACGTGCATAACGAAGCGTAATTATCGTCCTCGCGGACACGTGGTGCGGTGCTCGTTGGCCTGCCTCATCCTTTCGCTCCCAATTCGCTCTCGCTCGTTCAAATATCTTGCATCTCTGCTCTTGCGCTGCAGCGTTCAAAGTTATTTCTGGTTTCGATTAAATCTCCCTTTTGTTGCGCGACGTTCCGACCGCCCGACCATCCGGCTGTTGGTTCTGTATATTCTGCTGCTCTCTGTGTGTATGTTTGGTGTTGTGTCGTGTCGTTATGTTGTTATGATTA